GGTGGTGGGGTCTGACCCTCTACCACAGCCTCAGTTCCCAGTCATCCAGACCTGTGGCCCTAGTGACCTCAATCCATGAGACTTGAATCCCAGAGCACCTGGATACTGATCCCTCAAGCTCCTGGCGGCTAGTCTGTTCCTTTGCCTCTCCATTCTGTTTGGTGTCACCCTGCCCCTCCTGAGGACACTGACCAGCTCAGGGCTCTGACCTCTCCAGAGGCACACTGACCTCCCACCCTCTTGCCTACCCAGCTACTGTCCCTAGGTGCAGGTGATTCCTAAGCTGCAGATGGCTGGTTGGCACAGAGGACTTGTGTGTCCTCCTCTGAAGACTGGGATGTGAGCTTCCTAGTTACAGAGCTAAGGTGTGGCCTGTGGAGCCCCAGAAAATGGGGTGGGAAGGTTTGGGGTGGAAGTTTGCAGCCTAGTGAAAGGAAAGGCTTTCTAATTATAGGGAAGGGTGTGAGGGTGTGAGGTGATGAACTTCTCAGGCTAAGTCCTGGGGGACTCTGGGGTACCCCTATTCACAGCTCTCATTAGACTAGGAACTAGGGGGTCACTGACGCCACCGTCTGGCCTGCACTAACCTCACACCTGCAAGGTTCAGGTGGGTGGGTGGGTAGCAAGGTCAGTGGCTTTCCAAGGTCACCCAGGCTTGCTCCGATCCCAAGGAAACACAGTGAGGCGCTTACACAGAAGTTTGGCCATTTCCATTTCCTTCCTCCATCCTCCCAGGGAATCTCCTCCTCCCTTTAGCAGGGATCGCCAGGTCACGGGGTCATTTTAGTATCAGCCCACAGTGGGGGGATAACCATGCTGCTTCTTGTTCTGTGGCCTGAAGAAAGTTTCTTCAACCTTTCTGAGAAGATGTCTTCCATCTGTTAAATGGGGTCAGGAACACCCACCTGGGAGCTTTGTTGGGAAGGACAGATGAGGTCATCAGTATTGCAAGCTAAGTGTGTACCTGGTGCCTAAGGAGGTGCTTGAAAGCTCCCCACCCCAGCAGTCCCTAGGGAACCATCCCACTGGGCAGGTGGATGCTCCTTGCTGGAGTGAGCAGCCAGGATGGGAGGGCTGGGGCTTAACTGGGATCTTGCACTCCCCTCCAGCCTCACTGCCACTCCTTATGAGGCCCTTCAAGAACCCTCTCCTTTCTCCTTAGTCTCCAGAGAGGCAGGTAGAGCTGGCCCTGATCCCAGCACCAGATGGGGACCCAGTAGGGGGAGTCAGACTAGAAGCAGCTGTCCTCCAGGGCACAGACAGACCTGAAGCAGGGGGGATGGGGGTGTCCCAGTGCTGTGGAGTGCAGAAGATGGGATGGTGCATTGGGGTGGGGGGGCAAGTGGGCGGGCCTGCCAGGGGAGAAGAGTGACAGCACCAACTACCAATAGCGGCACGTCAGCCTAGAAAGTAGCTCTTTGGATGTTACTTCTGCCTATTGCACAGAGGAGGAAGAGTCTGAGTGGGACAGGGGACAGATTGGAGGCCACATTCTGCAGAGACTACTCCCTGCTCCAGGCTGTGGTATTTAAAGTAGGTTTAGAAGAAGCAAAAGATACCCCTTCCCTGCCTGACCCTGACCCTGTAGAGATGAGGGAGGGGCCTTGGAAACCCTTTGGTTCCTTCCCTTTATTTATTATTTTATTTTTATTTTATGTGTATGAGTGTTACGCCTGCATGTGTGTGCCTATAGAGGACAGAAGAAGGTGTTGGATCGCCTGGAACTGGAGTTACAGATGGTTGTTAGCCACCATGTGGGTGCTGGGATTCGAACCTGGATCTTCTGCAAGAATAGCCAGTGCTCTTAACTAGAGATAGCCAGGGCTATCTCTCCAGGCCCAGCCCCTTCCTTTTAAACAGCCTGGGCTCACCCCAGCCCTGGCACCTGCTGTTACCTAATCCACTCACAGATGCTCCATACCCACATACCTTCAGTGCCAGTCTTATGCCTAAGTCTCCATGTGGGGCAGGGGCAGAATGCCAAGGGAACAAGGATCCAAGTCTGCACAGCAACCACCAGGCAAAACCGACTTCACAAGAAACAACCATTACTCCACTGCCACCCACTGGCACAACTGCTCAGCACCTGCCACTGACCTGGACAGAGTGAGGGTGGCCAGAGCCTTGAAGACAGCAGAGCTGGGTTTGGAGAGACCCCTCCCAGACCCAAGACTCAGGGTTGGGAAGGGCCGTGAAGGCCTACTCTGCCACTAGCTGCCCCCTGCAGGAAGCCACCAGTCCCCATCTGGAGGGGGCAACTGTGGTGGGTTGCTAAGCAAGTCTTGGGACTTCATACTGACCCAGCACCCTGCTCTTCATACTGACCCCAGAACTCAGGAAGTTGAGACAAAAGGATCAGGAATTTGAGGTTAGCCTGGACCACTGAGTGAGATCTTATCTCAGAAAACAAACCAACATATGGGAGGAGCTTAGGAGGCCTCACCTCTCATTGAGGAGTTACTGCTGTCTCAGAAGGAGACTCACTTCTCTTTAGGGGGTTGTAGTCACTGTTAGCTTGCCCAGGCTGCAGTGGATGATTCCACACCCATGGGATTCCACACCCATGTGTGCATGCACACATGCACACATGCACACATGCACACATGCACACAGGCTGGGCTCAAACTCTTAGAGATCTCCTGAGTGCTGGGATTAAAGGAGTGCACCACCATGTCTGATAATGCATTTTAATCATATCTACCCCCTACTTCCCACCTCCAACTCTCCCAGACACCCTTCAATGTATCCATCCCCCAACTTCATGGACCTATTCTTTCTTGTTTTTT